TTTGTTGACCTTTGAACTCAGCCAATCATAATCTACTGAGTTTAACTATGACCAATCAGAATACAAGGGAGTCGGCATGCAATGCCACAAATTTTCACAGACTGTATTACAGCATATAAATACAAGTCTGTACACAGGCTATGATGCGACCTACTTTATTATTTGATACAGTAAGTGGAATATGCTACCACTGAAATGGGTCAAGGCATCTCTCCCTCTCTAGAGCCAGCTCTTGAAACTCCCATTAAGGCATTGCCGAATGCCAACCTGAGTGTCAAGGGCTGCAGAGCTCAATGCCGTGTGTCAATTGATGTAATAACTTACAAGTAAAGTTTGAACAAGATCTTTTCTGGGTCGAAGCTTCAACAAGGGCATGCTCAGTTTGATTGAACACAATCCACCACGTCCCTCATAACAACATACACCTGCACATCTAAAAGTGGTTCAAACCTTGTGTTAACCTGTGCAGATCCAATGTGCAGGGGCACCAGAGCCATGGGGGAATCAGGCTGCAAGGTGCCTTTTTTACGAGAACAAAACTTTGAAAGACTACGTACTAAATTTTCCACTTTTTCTAATCTTCAAAATGCTACCTTGACACACTACCAACTGAGTTACATGGTCCAATCAGCCTTTCTCATGCCGCCATTTTTGGGTGGCTTTTCAGCCGAAGTCTGCAAGATAAGTCCACATAACAGCGACTTTTTATAATTTTTGGACAAAATGATGGTAAATTTGCTTTGTAAATGGTTAGTTTCTTTTGAAAAATTGCTTTTCACATTGTTGTAATTGTCTGCATTGGTGCCACCCAAAAATGGCAGATATTCATCATCATGATCAAGACTAATTAAGCAATTTCATTCATAATTTCCAGTCCTCAATCAAACCAGATTGTGTAGCTCATTTGGTAGAGCGTCAATTAAGCTAGCAAGGTAGGCAGACAGAATTTTCTGCTTGCACCGTTTAGAATCATTAACTTGACAACATTCACTTGACAACAAACTTGATTCAAGATTCTCTAATAACACTACAGTATTCTTTTAGTTAATTTCATAAGAACTTCATTTCACTACAAATTTACTACGAAATAAATTTGCAATGAAATAAAGTTCTTTATATGAAATGACTCAAGTTTGTCTTCTAATATCTTATTAGCTGAGCTTTAAATTATCCTGGTATAATAATACATTGTAGTGTTTTTAATACATAAATGTACTAAGAATACTGCATCAACATAAAATTACGTACAAATGTATACACTGATCTAAAATTAACTAAAATTTCAACAAACAACATACAGTGTCATTCTTGGTGCCCATTTAACCTCACAACACGACAACTTGCCATCAAAATACTTGTCATTAAATTGTAAAAATAATTCTCTTATATCAGGCGTTGGGTCAATAGTTTCCCAACAGTCGTCCACTATAGATGTTGGACGCTTTCTTTTATCGCCAGAATTTCTCGTTTCTTCATTGTCAATGGCAGAAAATTCGTCTTGAAGCGACAACGCCAATGCATAATCTGTGTCCGCCATGTTGAAATAGACAGTTTCCCAGTGACGTATCCCGAACAAAATTGTGTAATTTCCAGGAATCCATATATTCATTAATCATTAACTTTATAAATTGTCTTCAAACCGCACACCGAAAATTATCAAAACTTCTTACAAGGTTGTCCTAACACGTCCGATACAGTTATGATATGGCAATATTGTTACAACCTTGTGTCGTCAATCTTGTAACATTCTTGTTATATCATGACTGTATCAGACTTGTTAGAACAACCTTGTAACATTCTTGTTATATCATGACTGTATCAGACTTGTTTAATAGAACAACCTTGTAACAAGTCTGAGTCAACTGAGTCTGATAATCCCGTCAAGCTTGTTACAAGTTGTTAACAGTTTGTTCCAAACTTGTTACAACAACTGGGAACAAGCAGTGCGAACAAAACTTGTTGACAGCTTGTGAACAGATTTGCAATAACTTGTGCGTTTTTATGTATGCGGTACACACGCAAAAATCTCACATCTTGTAACAAATCTATTAATAAGCCGTCAACAAGTTGTGTTCGCACTGCTTGTTCCAAGTTGTCAACAAGTATGGAACAAGCTGTTAACAACTTGTAACAACCTTGTTGATATTATCAAACTTGTTACAAGGTTGTTCCAACAAGTGCGATACAGTCATGATATAACAACATTGTTACAACCTTGAGTCGTCAACCTTGTAACATTCTTGTTATATCATGACTGTATCAGACTTGTTAGAACAACTTTGTAACAAGTCTGATGCCATCAAGCTTGTTATAGCCTGCGTAGCGGCTATAAGCTTGTTACAAGTTATTAAGAGGGCCCTGAAGGGGTAAAATGGGAACTGGGATTGATCTATTTTTAGACTGGGAAAATGGGATTTGGGTTGCTGGGACTGGGATTTGGCCACTGGGAAATGAAGTCCTCAAAAATGGGAATGGGATTGAGGTAATGCGAGTCGATTCCCAATTTTTCTGCGTTTTGAGTATTTCAAAATACAATTTTGATCCGTTTTTGGTGTCTTTGGTCATGATTTTTGTTGTTAACTATATTATTTACAGCACTACCTGCGAACAGGCATACTCGGGCGCCCGGAATTCTGAGTTTCCTGATTATGCGTGTCTCAAAATGCTGCAAATGCCATTTCCGGGATTCAAATTTAAAAATTTTCCGTGCCCCCCCCCCCCCC